CATGCACTGCTTTTGAGAGAAGCCAAAGCTGTCCACGTCCTGCGAGGTTTTATCGCTTATACAGGGAATTTTCCGCTTGCTTCGAGGATAGCTTGGTTCGGAGATCGGCCGAACCAAGCTTTCCTCGAAGATTATGATCTAGTGAGAACTCAGAATCCTCAAATTTCTCGGACACTGTTTTTAAGCGCAGGATGGCTTTTTTTCAAGATATGCATGAGCTAGATTGCCAAATACAAGACTGCTTCCGTGGATGTGAAATTACAATGAAATAAAATAAGCATGACATTTCTGTGTTGCGCTCAATGATTAGAGCACCTGGATCGTTTTGCTGGAACAACTTCAATCGATATGTACCGATTATATGAAGGTGATGTTATCATTAACTGCCCACAATCGATACCTATCCTAAATGAGATCCGGGGACTTCTATATCCTCGACTGGAGTAGCAGCTGCCTAACTTTAAGCACGTTCAACCATTAGCTCCGCACAGTTTTGAGATCCCGCTTGTGCGATCCGGCTCCACCCAATTTTGAGCCCACAGCTCATACATATTTATAGCCGACCACTAGTTTGGCAGGAGCTTTAATAAGTGCTTTCTGCCCGGTCGAAATGTCTGAGATATAGATAAGCAATCATTCCTTATATAAAGGCGTTCTCTGGGAGAGTTACCTCATTTTCATACAGCTGTAATCATAGAAGGTGTCTCTCAGATCTAACTCGTTTTATGGCCAGCAAGATCAAGAAGAAGACTACGAGACGTCGACGGCGAGTTGAAGCAACCTATGAGGAACCAGACACACCAAGTGTACCAGCGACTGCAAGAAAAGTAAGCGTTGTAGCTTGACTTAATGCCGACGCTATGGTTTCCCGCTATGGATAGGCTGCTGGATCAACTCGAAGGGGAGGGGCAGCCGTCAGCGCAGAGGTGGAGAAACATTTGGATAAGTTCGTCGAAGCCTTTACCACTTTAGGTTAGTTAGGCTCTCATATAAGCTTATGCGCTTAAAGGGGGACCTTTTTCAAGGAGTAGAAGGTCTTCGGAAACAGTTCAGAGAGGTTTTATCATCATATCGAGCTCCAGACAACAGA